TGTGTGTGTGTGTGTGTTTGGCTGATTGATTAATTATTTTGCACAATTTTACTAGGTGCAGGGAGAAGGAAGAGAAGAATTACAAACAGGAGGATGAAGCCCAATTGATTTTTTTTTTCAGATTCTTTTATTTAATTTAAAATTATTCATTCAATTTTAGATATTTAAAAAAAATAAAAATCAAAATTATCATAAAAATAGCCCTTTGTCTAATTGGGGAAGGTCAGAGACAGATTGTGTATAGGGTAGGTTCAGTATTTTTGTATAAATACAGGGGCTTTTGTGGAGAAGAAAATGTTTTTGGGGGACTGGAGGAAAATAAATTTTAGGGACAGATTTGAGCCTGTTTTCTATTGATCAGTTGGTTAAATAAAATTTAGGAAAATAATTTCATTAAATAAAAGTTCTGGTTACTTTTTCTTTACTATGCAAATCCACTTTGAACAGAAAATTGTTCTGTTTTGTGGATAAAAACATTGGAACTAGAAAATATGACAAAAATAAATTGGATAAATAATGTTATGCAATCTGTATAAAGCTAAATCAATTCAATGAACAGAGAAAATAATAATAATAATGATTTGGAGAAATAATCAATCTTCTAAAAGTCGCTAGGCGCCCGCTAGATGCTCGACCAGAGCCTAGCGCGCCTAGGCGGGGTCTAGTCGGGGATTAGAAATCAATATTGGATACTTTTTTTTTTTTAATTTATTTTAATTACCTACAAAATACAAACTGTTTCAACTTATAATAAATCGACACATCTAAGTCTAAATAATAATATTAATATATTTTAACGAAAACATAAAAACAAAATAATGTAATTAGTGTTAAAAAAAAAATTAAAAAATTGAAAAATTGACGTCAGGCCTGCCTAGGAGCGCCTAAATCCGCCTCTGCCAACCTAGGCGCCGCCTAACTGTCGAGCCCGCCAAGTCCGCCTAGGAGCGTCTAGAGTCACCTGGCCGATTTTTCTAGCGATTTGTGCAAATCGGAGGCGCCCAGGCACTGCCTAGGCAGCGCTAGACCGATTTTTAGAACAATAGAAATAATATAATGCAATCTATAAAGCTTAAATCAGTTCATTGACAGTTTGAACTAGTATTCGATCATGCACAGAGGAAAACAAAAACTTAATTATATGTATGGATATAATGTTAAAAATTTTAAATTAGATAAAATGTGTATTACATTTTAAAATTTTGACTATATGTAAATGTATGATATAAATATAAATTATTTAACTTTCATATAAATTAGTTTTTTTTTT